GGAGCAGGGCTGGAGCAGGGGCAGGGGCTGCTGAGATGGGGTAGAGCATGGGACTGAGCCACAAGCAGCTTGTTGGGGGGCTGCGGGGGGAGGGGGGGGCATCTGCTGCTGCCAGCACCCTGGGAGGGCATGGGGGGCACATGCCCCTGGATCTGTGCGCGGGGTAGAGTGGGGTAGGCTGGGGCTGGGGCTTCACCAGGCTGTTCCTGGTGAGGACTGGGCTGGGCCGGGCCGGGAAGCACTTGGGGCAGGCGGCGGCAGCACTGGGAGACAGGTTAAGGCGGGTTAGGTGAATTCTGGAGTGGCTGCATCCCCCTCTATAGCCCTGCTCCTGTAGACCCCCACAGTGAGGGAGGAGTGGGCTGAGGCTAGGGCCGGAGCAGGGGCAGGGGCTGCTCATCTGGGGTGGGACGGAGCCACAAGCGGCTCATCCGGGGGCCATGAGGGGGGTGCCTCCCACCACTGTAGCACCCTGGGAGGGAGCAAGGGGCATATGCCCCCAGATCTGCACACAGGGTAGAGCAGGCCGGGGCTTGGGCTCCTTCTGCTCTGTTCCTGGCAGGGGCTAGGCCAGGCTGCGCTTGGGGCGGGTGGCAGTGGCGCTTGGATAGGGATACAGGCGGGGCTGCAGCCACCCCAAAATTCCCCATAGCCCACCCCAACCGCCCCTCCCAGCACAGCCCGTTCCAACAGCCCTGCTGGGAACAGTTCAGCGCTACCCCAGCCCCAGTTCACAGCGGCCCACAGCCTGCTGCACTCCCGCATGCTGATCTGGGGGCACCCCCTGCCCCCCCACCCATGCCCTCCCGGGATGCATGCAGTGGTAGGAGCCACCACCCCCTGTGCCCCCTGGACGAGCCAGTTGTTGCTCTGTCTTGTGCTCCAACCCCAGCTGGGCAGCACCTGCCCCTGCTTCAGCCCCACTCCCTCCCTCACTACAGAGGCCTACAGGAGCAGGGCCATGGGTGTGGGGACGGGACTGCAGGCACTCCCAAATTTGCTGTATTCCCCGCAATTCCCCTCCCAGCATCACCGCTGCCTGCCCCAAGTGCAGCCTGGCCCAGCCTCCTCTGAAAAGAACCCAGCACAGCCGTGGCCCCAGCCTGACCCTCCCCACCCCATACGTAATTCTGGAGGCACGTGCCCCCTGTGCCCTCCCAGGATGCGCGTAGTGGTGGGAGCTGCCCCCCTGCAGCTCAGTCCCGCAGCCCCTTCCCCAGCCCTACTCCTTCCCCCCACAACGAATTTAGCAGCTGGACCCGGCTGCTGTCCACGTGACTGGGCTGCGCTCCTGGCTGCCTGTGTGCTGTGCTACAGCTGCACACATGCAAGTAGAGTTCTGCGTACCCCCTACAATCCTTTTAAGTACCCCTAGGGTTATGCATACCCCTGGTTGACAACCACTGGACTATACCTAAATTTACAATTTGTAATTGAAGTTGTTTTATTTAGTTGCTCAGTCTCTCTCTCTCTCTCTCTCTCTCTCTCTTTCTCTCTCTTGCTCTCTCTTTAGAACCTGGCACAGACTCACATATTAAATGAACTAATGTATGAGATGAAGGAAAAGGGAACAAAGTTAAAAATCAGCCAAGTTACAGATTCTCAACTGGTAAGTGTTCAATAAGAGATGCGGTTTGTTTGTAAAGTGTAATAAGAGAAGCCAGGATCAGAACAATGTCTCCAGAAAGAGCAACACAGGCCAGCACTAATTAAGGATGAACACATTCTCACTCCGCAGTTTCTTTTGTCTTTTAATATCCAACTAGTCTATGATCTCTATAACTGCCTCCTTTAACAAAATGAGATATTGAAGAGTGAAATTTTAGGTTTTTAAACTGAGTAATTGCTGCAAGAAGTAAACCTTCTATTAGGTTTGCTTGATAACCAGTTCCAGAGTAAAGTGGAAGGAAGGTCCTTTTATGGGCAACTTTGATGTCCAAAAGAACTTGATAATGATGAAATTCATTGTTAAGAAGAAAGATAGCGTTAATTATGCTGGCACTGAATAATTCATCCATGATTTCACAGTAGTGTATTTGGAGGACAATCAGATCCTTTTAGACCTCTCTTCCCTCAGTATTCCTTCATAGTTGAAAATAGCAGACTGAAGGTGAGGTAATATTCCAAAATTTGTCTAACAAAATACTGCAGATTGAGAATGAACAAAACAAGAGCTGAGCTATATTGTTTATTTGTTCACATGCCTTCTTGGTGTGGTTTCTGAGTTTGTGAAGTTAGTCTCTGTAGAAAAGGAGAGAGAAATGTGCTTAGATACATTGCGGACAGCACCTGAGGCTCTAGTATCCTAATAGAATCATCCTCACATCATAAATCCATGCTATAAATTTAAGTGACACAAACCAGAAAGTAGCATGTGACAGATCCCGACCTTCTGAATACTAATTAGAAGCAAAACTATACCTGAAAACCATACAAATAAACTAGTTCCCTATGTTGCAGTTAGTAGTAGTAAATTTTACTGCAGTTTAGAGTTCATAATTGACAAGTCTCTCTTTCAAAATTGCTAGTAATCAACAATTTATACTTGCTTGATTCGGAATCTATTTTCCTTTTAATGGGCAAAAGTAAGCTTGTTTTTCTTTCTGACTAAGATTCAGTCAGGCTACACTAAAATGCTAAGCCAGGGGTTTTTAACCTTTTTTTAACAAGTGTATCTCTGTATCTGTCTTGAAGTTTCAGCTCATGTACCCTTTATATTTTTTTTCTTGTTTTTAAGGGGTGGGAGGGGCAGATCAAGACCCCATGGGGACGGAGGGAGGGAGTGGGGCAGAAGCAGGCACTGCTCAGCTGAGATGGGGCAAGGCACAGAACGGAGCTGTAAGCAGCTTGTCCAGGCAGTGTGGGGAGGGAGGGCGGCTCCCACTGCTGCATGTGCCCTGGGAGGTCAGGGGAGCATGTGCTTCCAGATCTGCACATGGGGTGAGGGCGGGCTGCTGCTTTAGGGGCAGGGAGGGGTAGATTGAAGGCCCAGCTGTGGGGCTGGGGCAGGGACTGCCCAGCCGAAGCAGGGCACAGGACTGAGCCACATGGGAGGTGGGGTGGCTCTACTGCCACTACACACACCCCAGGAAGGCATGGGGAGCATGTGCCCCCAGATCTGTGCACACGGGGCAGGGCAGGATGCTGCTGTGGGCTGGGGCTGGGGTGGTACTGGGCTCTTCCTGGCAGGGGCTGGGCTGAGCTGTGCTAAGGGTGGGTGATGATGGTGCTGGGAGGGGGCTGGGGGCACCTATGGCAAATTCTAGAGTGGCTGCAGCCCTCCCATCCCCCCCTCCCCCCGTAGCCCCGCTCCTGTAGGCCCCCATGGTGACGGAGGGAATGTCACTGGAACAGGGACAGGTGCTGCCCAGCAGAGGTATTGTGTGGGATGGAGCTGCAAGCGGTTCGACTGGGTGTTGCGAGGGGTGGTGGCTCCCTCCACTGCATGGGGAGCGCGTGCCCCCAGATCTTTGCGTGGGCTGGGGCCCGGGCTACTCTGGGCTGTTCCCAGCAGGGGTTGGGCCAGGCTGTGCTTGGGCCAGGTGGTAGCAGCGGTGCTGGTTGGGAGCTACGGAGGGGTTGCAGCCACCCCACACCAACAGCCTGCCACACTCTGCATGCAGATCCAGGGGCACGTGTCCCCCCCACACCCCCCCAGGGTGTATGCAGCAGTGGGAGCCACCACCTCCTATGCCCCCTGAATGAGCTGCTTGTGGCTCTGTCTCGCACTTTGCCCCAGCTGGGCAGTGCCTACCCCTGCTCCAACCCAAGCCCCACTCCCTCCCTCACTCCAGGGGCCTGTGGGAGCGGGGCTATGGGGGGGGCTACAGCCACTCCAGAATTCGCTGTAGCCCCTCCAACCTCGTCCCAGCACCGCCACCTGCCCTGAGCACAGCCCAGCTCAGCCCCCACCCTGCACGCAAGTCCTGGCCATACATCCCCCAAGCCCTCCCGGGGTGTGCGTAGCAGTGGGACCCGCCTCCTCCCCCCCGCATGGCTCAGTCCTGCTCCATGCCCCACTGGGCAGCCCCTGCCCCAGCCCTACTCCCTCCTCCCACAACAAACTTACCAGCTGGACCCGGCTGCTGTCCATGTGGCTGGGCTGCACTCCTGGCCTCATGCATGCTGTGCTTCAGTGGAGCACATGCACATGGAGTTATGTGTACCCCCTACAACCCTTTTAAGTGCCCCCAGGGGTACGCGTACCCCTTGTTGACAACCACTGTGGTAAACCAATACATAAATTACAAGCTGTTCAATTTGTTTTCACTCAGACAAGACGTTATGTTGATACACAATTAAACTTTATTCCAAAGGATCCGTTGGTGGTGAACCTCTCAAGCCCTGGACCTCTGACTTCTGCCATGTTCTTGTTCCTTCATAGCATGAGGGAGGCTGGAAAAGGTCCTCTTTCTCCCAAAATTCTGTTCAGCCAGCTCTGTCAAAAGTAAGTACTTTCAGCACCATGTTGCAAAGTGTGCCATCTCCAACACTTAAAAACATTAACTTCTTACATAATATGGATCAAACTAAAATGTTAGCTATAAAATATCTTCAGTTATCTAATCCTTGCTTTCAATTCACCAGTATGCTCTGCTTTCCATTTTAAATTCATGAAGTGATAGGGCTTTCACCATTCTGAAGACAGAAACTTTCATCTCCTATGAATGTGGATGTTGTTCTTGTTGAAGCCAGTGGAAATGGCATTGCCATCTGAATTTGTACATTCCAACCTAACATGTCATAGTCTGCCATTTTTTCAGTTATTCAACCCAAAATTTATTTAACATAATGCCATTTTAACTGAAGTTCTTTGGGGAACTTTTTCCCTTTTGCTGTTAAAGTTATAGGTATGTAACTTGCATGGATCCTTTAGTTGGCATTTAACTAAATCATACATGCAGTATTTTGATATTTATCTTTCCATATATTTCAGTCCTAGTATCTAATAACTCTTGTACTCTATTTTGATTTTTTCCAATATTTTTCCTAATATATTTGACACTTGGGTACCTAGAGTTGAGGAACTGAATGGTATTCTCTGCATTGTTTCACCAAAACTATGTGGTAGGATCATCTCCTCCAAGTCTATGGCATAATTGATATTTTTGTGCATTGAGTCCTAAATAACATTGGTGCTGTTTATGACCATCATGTAACACTACAAACTCCATTGAATTTGGTATATGTTACCATGCCTAAATCTGCTTTGGCAACACTGCTTTCCATTTTTTTCTTGTCATTGGATGTCTGTGTCTGATATACTTTCCCCTGACTGAATAACTTGGGCTTTTCGTTTTTTCTTTTTACAAATTGAATCTCATTTTATAGCTTATTTATTACTTATTTCAAGTACTTCTAAGGACATGATCTTGTCAGGTGTGAAGTGAAATTAGTGGGAGTTAAGGGCTCTTCATAGAATCTGGGTTCTTCTGGTTTCTTCATAGAATCCAGACCAAAATTTCTACTTACTGAATTTCTTCCCTCATTTGTATAAAAATCCACTCTCATTAGTATCGTTTGCAAATTTTACTTAGAGCATTTTATTCCCACTTTTTGGGGTGGCTATTAAATATATTAAATAAAACCCAAACCTAATGTTCAGACTTCCGGGACATCCCACTGAAATCTCTGTTGTTGCTATTTTTTTCTGATGTTGTATTTTGTCAATTAGCATTAGCTTTTGTGCATAGCAGGTGGAAGAGCAAAAATTAGCAGGTTTGAATGCAAGAAGAAAGGTTTAATTAGACTTCAACTTTATTAACTCAGTTTACCTGGGATCCATTGGCCAGTAACTTGTTGTCATTGTTGTTGCAGGTTGTCATTTCCTAACCTTCTCTAACTGGTCCACATGCTGTTGTTGGGACCCTTCTGTCCCCTCCTCACATGTAATTTAAGAGACTTGTGGGGGGTGGGAAAGGGTTGTTATCTCCCTGCTGTGCATTAGAAGCTTCAGTTCCATTCTGCAGCTGTACTAGAGGATGCCTTCCCCTATGTCTGTTTCCAGTTCTGGTGTACAGACTCCTTATTGAAGAAATACTTGCACTGCTCATTTGTCAGCTCCTGAAAAGTGACTGCTTATTCCATCCTATTCCATCCCTGGGCTTCAATGGGGAAGACAGAAGTTCATATCTTATCCCATCAAATCTGGCCATAAGGGAAAAGTGATTTTCCAATTAAAAACAAAGCAAAAGAACCCCACAGCTCCTTAAGGCAGTCCCCTAAATTGCCAAAACAAAATAAAGTAGCAGGCAAGGCCCCCATCCTCACCCCCAGAAAAAAACCAAACAGAGGGTAAGAGCTACCAATCTCTCCTCTGTGCGTCTGTTGGAGGGAAAGGATTTTCTATATCCTCTCTCCTGTGTAGAAAGCAGCTGTATGAGGCTGAGCCCCACTTGCCTGCTTTGCTAGTCAGATGGTGCCTCTTCCCTTCTCCTAACAGTGGTTGAGAAGCCTGAAGGGCACCATTACCATTTTTCCTGCCGATCGAAACAATGCCTTCCTCACTTTTGCAGTTGCATTTTATTGTAGCTAATGCCTTATGATTATATGCAACTTGTGCCAAGTTAGACTCCAAAGGTATTGCAGTCAACTCCCATTGACTTCAGTGGGCCTTTGATCAGCTAATAGAAACTTTGGGAAAATACCAGAAAGGTTCCAGGTTTCCAAGATAAGTATATATTAGAAGTGACATTCATTGATCATGTAAGATGTATGCAAGAGGGGTTTTGTTTGTTTTGTTTCATTTTTCTAAGAAAAAAGTCAGACTTTTACATTTGAACCCTATGCTATAATGTATTTATTTGGCATTGGTTCAAAATTAAAAGGTCCCAGCAAACAAGGACTTGAAGCACTACTGAGACAACATATGGCTCTAGATTGGAAATTGCTTGCAAGCCCTAAAGTAATGCGTGTTTCCTGGGGTGGAAAATGTTCACAGTGGTGCTTTTGTAGGTGTGTGGAATTGTGATTCAGTCAAACTGGCTTTTTTAAACTGCAGAAAAGGATCTGGGTATAGTAGACCACTAACTGACTATCAGTAAAGTCTTCTATTGATGCAGAAAAGGTAGTAGCACATTGCAGTGTATTAACAGAAGTGTTACGTCCAAGATGGAGTAAGTGATTCCTCCAAACCATTCACCACTGGTGATGCCTCACCTGGATCATTGTGTCCAGCTTTGGGAGCTGCACTTCAAAAAAAAAAAAAAAAAGAAAGAAAAAAAAAAAGATGAGGCCAAATTGGAAGGAATTTAGCAGGGAATAACAAAATGATTAGGGGCCTAGAAAAGGAAAGGCTTAAACATTTGGGACTGTTTGGTCTGAAGAACAGAAGACTGTGGTGATATTAGGAAGATCATTCTAACTATGATGGTAATTGAGCACTGAAAGTTACTGCCTTGCAAGATTATGACGTTTTTGTCATTGGACTTTTTAAGTCAGTTATTCTCAACCAGGGTACCATGATACCCTGGGGTGCGGCAGGATCATTTGAAGGGTGCTGAGAGGTGTAAGGAGATGTCCAGGTAGGGACAAGCCTGAGCTGTTTCCTACTCCCTGGCCCCTTTGCAAGGAGGTAAGCACTGTAATATAAAAATTAGTTTTTGAAATTGGGTGCTACTCAATTCAGAGAATCTATGCAGGTGGTGCCTCAGGTCCAGTAAGGGATTACCCAAGTCCAAAAAGGTTGAGTACAATTGTTTTTAGTGCAAGTTAGACAAAATTGTCTGGGATGGTTTAGACTTGCATAAGACAGGATCCTCCCTGCATTCTCTTTGATGACCTCCTTAGGTCCTTGTGAGTCCTATTTTTCTGTTTCTTTGAAAACATCTGTAGAAATTCTGAAACTTGGTCACATGTCTAAACATAAAACAAGTTAAATGCCTATGCTGCAAATAAAATAAACTGCTGATTTTTTTATAGTGTAGTTGGATTATAACATGCCATCAAGATATTATACATTAACACAGGATTTTAGTGCAGAATAATGCAGTTATAATAGTAGATTATAACAAGCCTACTGTATTTCCTCCTTGCACAGTACACAGAATACTTTGCACACTTCCAGTTTACTAAAAATTGTTGTTTTTATTAGAAATTGGCATTAGTAGGATTTTGTAGGGAGGTAGAAGAATTATTTCTAGATGACACAGGTGATCCCAGTGGGCCTTTTAAAGGTCAATTTTGTGGCATGTACAAGCAGCTTAAATGCCCTTTAGCACCATTTTAATGGTACGGCTGTCTACGCTGTCGGTAGTGTATTGCGCGTTAAATGATTTTGGGATGTAGGAAAATATAACACCTCTGAGGTGTTTAATTTGCTACCAAACAAAGTGCAACAGCCGAAGAGGGAAGCACTGGGTACTGTGCAGCTCAGGGGCTGTGCAGGCAGCTCGGTGGCAGCCCGTGCAGGTAGGCTCCACTGAAGAGAAAGAAAAAAAAAAGCGAGCCTGTTTCTTTTTCTTTTCCCCCTCCCTGGAGCCTGTCTGCCTGCCTGAGCTGTACGGGGGCCCAGTGCTTCCCTCCACAGCTGCCGGGGGGTGCGGTGCTTCCCTCCATGGCTGTAAGGGGGCTGTTGCTTCCCTCCACGGCTGTGGTGCCCCCTGGGACTGCCCATGCTGGGAGCCACCTGGGGGTGCCACCACAGAGGGAAGCATCAGCTCCCTTGCAGCTCAGGGACTGTTTGGCCTGCCAGCAGCTCGTCTCCTTCCCTTCCACCATCAGAGAGGCAGGTAAGGATCAGGCCCGACCCTTGTGTTCATGCCATGGGGTTTTACTTCAGTTTAATTCTCCCTAAATTGAAGTGGTGTTTTTAAAAACCCACTGCTTCAATTAAGGGCGAATTAAACTGAAGTAACCCCCCCGTGGCGTGTATAAGCAGCCAGTGAGAGTGCTTGCCATTTTATTTCTAATATATTGTGTGTGGCAGAATGCCAACTCTGTCTCTTCCCCAAACTCTGCTATCAGGCTGATGACCTCTCTGACAATTTGGTTACCATGGTCACTGCAGAGGGCAGACACCCCTGGCCCCATCTTCTTCAGGTAATCCTGAGTTGTAACTTGAGCGGGATACATTCCTGAGGGAGGGGGAAACCTGTTCCCTCTGGCTATGTGACTGGCCTCACACACCTGGGTAGGGGGGCTTAAACTCTCTATTGTTCTAAGCAATGTCATCATGACTGGGAGGGGGATAGAGACCCTGCCAGTCTACCCGGTAACCAGTGGTGCATTTCAAATCGGTTGGCTGGCAAACAAGAACCGCTGGCCTTCATTGGATTAGGTAAATGAGGTTATAAGGTCTATATAAGTTAAAGACTGCCCAGGAGGAGGGGCAGCAGCCTGATGAGGACTCTCAGAGAAGCTGGACCATCTGAAACTTGCTGTCTCTTTTGAAACTCATGGTTGATGAACTGCTTGCCTTTAGAGGGAATCTTCACCTGCCTCTGGATT